TTCTTGTTCTTGTTGTCATTTTTGCTCTTGTTCAGCGTTTTGTTGGGCTCGGCGGGCGTTTTCTTCGAAGGCTAGTTCGAGTTTTTTGTCAGTATATATTTTATAAACCCTTTGTTGAATTTTCTTGTTCTTATATTCATATAGAGGTTTAATAGAGTTGTAAATTTCTTCTAGTTCTTGGAGGGTTTTGGCAGGACTTAATAATTCTTTTACGAACTCGTTTATGGTTTTGACTTTAGAGTAGTATTTTTTTCATAAGTTGGTGATTTTGTTTTTGAAGGATTTTTTGAAATTAATTAGCATTAGGGTGCTAATACTAATAGAGGATTTTCTGCTTGCTTTAAGATAATTCCGCAGCGAATACAATTGTGTATCTTTCTTTATCTCCTCGTCATTTTTAATGATTTCGCTTGGTTCGTCATCTTGTAAACCGGATTTTGTTTTGGTAATCACCAAACTTCCATCTTCTTTTAAACTTATTTTTTTGATTTTATGGTTTTTAAAGTATTGTAGTAAACTGGGGAAGAAACTGTCGTCTTCGCGACCAAAAGAGGACCCGAAACTTATATTTTTATCTCGAAGATAAAAGTCTTTTAAATTAGGGTTACTTTTGACTAATTTGGCAATCGCTTCTTTTTCTCTTTCAGTCAATATGCTATTAAGAAAACTAAGTTTAAGGTCAGTTAAAGTTGGGGAGGAATTAGGGAATTTGGTAAATTTTCTTCACTGATCATCATTGAAACAAAGTTCGAGATATTTTAGTTTAGGTAGACTAGAACTAGAAAAATCTAGTTTTTTAAAATGATGGACATGAGGAACAATAAATGTATTACAGGCACTAAAAAACTCTAAATTTTTACAATCACTTAGACCAAAAAAAGTAGCGTCCATGGAATGATTAACTGAAATCCTTTTTAAGTTAACTAATCCAGAGAGGTCTAAAATAACATTAACAGCAATTTCAGAATAATCTATCTCCTCCAAACTAGTGCAGTTTTCTAATGTCAATTCACAGGGATTTCTAGCACAATATAATTCTTTTAATTTAACTAATCCCGTGCAATCTATTGCTTGTAAAAGATTCCGATAACAATATACATATTGCAAATTACTTAAATGACTTAATGTTAGAAAGCCTTTTAATTTGTTACTATAACAATACAATCCTTCTAAACTATGACAATTACTTAAATCTAATTCTTCTAATCCATTAATCGCACAATTTAAAGTTTTTAATTTAGTAAGGTGGCTTACTTTTAATTCAGTTAATTGGTTGGAGGTTAGAACCAAGGTTTCTAAATTACCATTATTAGATAAACCAATTTTTTTTAACTTATTATTACTAGCAACTAATTCTTTTAGTTTTGGATTATTTCTAATGCCTAACCTAGCTATCCTATTATTACTAACATCCAACCTCTCTAAATTAGGAAAGGCGCTTAAATTTAAGTCGCCAATTAATCCCTTATTACTTAAATCCATTTCTGTTACTTGGTCAGGAGTTAATTCATTCCCTT